CAAATTATACAATCAAAAGTAAATATAAAGTCAAATGATGAGGTGGTACCAATAACTAAGAAAGAAGAGGGAGAACATATCAAAGACGGGGGGGGGGGGGGGGGGGGAAGTGCCTCCGTGAATGTTTAAAAACAATTAATGATGGATTACTTGAGTACTGGAATAACCTTAACTTAGCCTCAATGAATACAATGAAGGACGATTTATATCAGGTGGAACATGACTCCATAACATATAGGCGTTCCGTTTTTGTAAGAAAGTCTTAGCTATTATGGGTATATATGAAAACTAATACATTTCTTGCCATATAGAGTTCTGTATAAAAAGGTCATCATAGACAGGTGGCAAGTTGTTATATTTTTTTTTACTGGAACATGAATTGACCGAGCTGCATTAACATTTAAAATATTCATCCGTTTTAATAGGGGTGCAGTATGTGCACAACCCCCCCCCCCCACAAAAGTAGGTCTGTAGATTCAATAACCAGCGTGTCACGTGCGTCTTATATACACATGTGCATGTAGAGCTGTTGACTGTATAGTTAGGAACTAGAAATAATAAAAACATTTCTTTTTTAAACATCACTTTATTGTTCAATCTTGCACAACAAAGGAGAAGATACAAAAGCCCCGGACAATTCCATTTTACTGGAAATGCAGGGCATTAAAAGTACATAGTGTATAATGTTATATAACATCAACAAAGTAAAAGTATAGGATAAGTTGATGGCCTGCCGGAGCCAGCTAGCCCAGCTACATGTAGCTATGTAGCTGCGCTGCATGCCTAGACTACCTACATGCCGGTGCGTGGGTCCGACCAGAGGCTATAGGCCTTCCTAGTCTTTGTACCGTAAACGCGCCTGTTGTGTAGTTTGCAGGCACAAACCCTGGTCAGTCTTAAAAGAGAGTCTGCACTATAAGACTACCATAGGCCATGTACTATAGCTGCTCCTGACACAACCAGTAGGTAGCTGGGCTAGGCTTCTCTCAAGGCACAATTATTTTTTAATAAAGTGTTAAATTAGGGCTGTACTTGCAGACTACCTGTTGCGCGCTGCACGGTTCAGATGGTTGTGTAAAGTAGCGCATGTATTCTGGTTGAATAAAATTTGTGTCGAATAAAATTTGTGTCGAATGAAATTTGTGTCGAATGAAATTTCGTGGCATGCATTATGTATGGAACGCCGAATAGCTCCTTTGTTGAATACATCTTTTTCATTGAATACCTTTATTGTTGAGTAAAAAGTAAAATAATTCCTTGGAATAATATTTTTGTAGAACAAAACAAAATGTGCCAAATAAGATTTTGTCGAACTAAATTTTTGTCAAATGAAATTTTGTCGAATAAAATTTTTGTTGAATAAAATTTTTGTTGAATAAAATTTTTGTCGAATAAAATTTGTGTCGAATGAAATTTGTGTCGAATAAAATTTTTGTCAAATAAAATTTTTGTTGAATAAATTTGTTGACAAATACAATTTTTGACGAACAATGTGTCGAATGAAATTTATGTCGAATAAAATTCTTGTCAAATAAAACTTGTCAAATATTTTCTGAAAGTGTCGAATATATACATTTGAGTGAAATATATTTTTTGAAAGTGTCGCATATATTTATTTGTTTCCCTAAAGGCGTGCCATATGTGTCAGCCGAGGGGAGCCAGCTCTCAACGCATGTGGCAGACATAATCCTACTGTTTATTTCTCAAAAGTAAATGTACGTAAATGTCTCCCTTAGTATGATTTCGCTAGCCTGCGCTCCCATCAAACATTTTTCTTTCTCTCTCTCTCTCTCTCCATTCTATTACGTCTATGCTCTCTCTCTCTCTATTACGTGTAGTCCCCCCCCCCCCCCCCCCCTCGTGAAGATATTAGTGGGATTTCCTCTCGTCTCTCTTGCTCTCCAAATACGTAGGTCCATGCTCTCACCCTCTTCTTTGTCACATTTCTCCACCCATGAACGTTTTCGTCTAGTGTCGATGAATAAGGAGTGGAAGTAGAAAGGTGTACGGAAAATAGACTAACGTATTGGTGTCTTGCCTACTTATATTTAGTCAACCCTGTTAAGTAGATAATTATCCATTTTATTTTTTTATTTTTTTCCCATCCTGACCTCGATCATAACTCCTTTCCTTCTCGAATAATATCTTCATCTATCTCCAGCTCAACACTACCTCCCTCTCAATTATCTCTCTCTCTCCTACATGTTTTCCTGTTAATTCAACTCTGGTCTAATCCACACTCCGAAGACAGTTACAGTAATTGATCCATGCCATTTTTACAGATTTTATTATTTATCAATCATCCAATGCCGTCGACTAAAAATGTTTATTTACGCGTGTTTTGGTAACCTTGGTTACTAGTCCACCTGGCAACTTTTACGCGTGGCCAGTAGGCAAGAATGTCCATGATTGGACGTTTTCTTTTTTAGGGGTGGAGACCCTTCTTACGGCAGTCTTGTCAGTGATACTGATAGGACAAATGAAAGAATCTGATCGCGTGCGTGTTTTCTGAAGCGACGATCTTGGGAATATTTTTATTTTATTTGGTGGAGGTTGAATTGAATTGAATTGAATTTATTCACCACTTTCATGGTTGTGGAATGAGATACGCATATCTGGAGTAGGCGAACAGAAATATGGCAGTGAAAATGAAAGGTATTGTGCTCACAATTATAATTTCAATGAATGCAAATCATGCAAGTTTTTGCAACTTGAATATAGTTAGATCTACTCGTTGCTTCACCGCATCAGTACCCGATGCTTATCCGCGCCCAGTGTCAGTGATTTAGCGACGGCTTTTACTAGTATTTAACTGTGTGTAATGTTTACTCGTGAATACTTTCTATTGTGACGTAAACAAAGACACATACGGAACTGCGCGTACAAATCATACATATCAAGACTTAGCGCGCGCGATGAGCAAGACATGCGCTTGCAGAGAGGGCATGACTTGACTAGTTGCAAATACGCGCACCACCATGAAACACGATAGACTATCGGGGGATTAGGCGGGTTACACGCATCCCCCGATAGAGGAAATCATTCACTAGTGTGCAAATTATCGTGATTTTTATCGTGATTCTATCAGTATTTCATCGATATTTTATCGTGATTTTATCGTGAAATACCCATCGGGGAAAACCCGCCCCGCAAAAACATGCCCAATAACTTCTGGGCGGTATTGTAACATGCAAGTTTAACAGTGTTCCTGGACATGTATACATGTATGGTGGTACCTACAGTGTACATAAATACCTGTCATTACTTATTCAAAAGTCAAACATTTTCTAAATCAAGCATTTCTAATTTCAGGTATTTTTCCCCAATTGTTCCCCAATTGTTTTATTTTGTACTGTACAGGTCACTGTTGACTGCCATGGTTTTGGTCCCTTGTTTTTCATTATTCAGTATCTGCCGGTATTTGAGTTATGTAAAATGTGGGGATACGGCCTTGTACATGTACATATTTGTTTTCATGAGTGGTTTTAATTTTGTTCTTTCTTTTAAATCCACTGATTCCACATGATTGAATGAAGCAAAAAAACAAAACAAAAACACTTAAGAGAATGCACAAAACCCTCTTTTACTCTTTGTTTATACATCGTATGAGATTCTTTTCAGCTTTGACACTTTCACATTAAATTTTGGTCCTCGGGCATTTACCTTACAATTTTAATTTGTTATAAATAATACTGTAAAAGTAAAAAGGGAGTGAAACAACAGCCAACATTCCGCACTTGAAAATGGGCTACGTGTACCAACTACCAATATATGCCTATATCACTTTTATCCTGCTGTTGTTTTCTTACTTGCTGAAGCATGGAGGTATTGTGTGTGAAACCCCTGGCTTTGGTTCATTAGATAACATCTGCAGAATATGTATACTCATTAAATGGCATATTATCGGCGATTGCCATCTGAAGGGAACTACAGCAATTACTGAACCATGCTGCTAATGGCCAGACTAATGTTTTTACGATGCGTTCACAAGATGACGATGAGTAGAGGAAAAGGTTATGGCTCCAGGGAGTGTTTCACAAAGACTAATATCGACTTTAAGTTGGACTTAACTATGGCAGGCCATTCATGCCACTGTTTGCTCTCACTATTTACTGGCATTTGTCTCTCAAGGGACGTACAAATCGTGGTCACAAATCTAAAGAATTTACCTTTTTTGATAGTTCATTATTGAAGGAAAAAATATTATCTAAAGATCATAATTAAGAGACCAATTGTGAAAGTAACCAGTGGCATGAACAGCCTGCCATAGTTAGGTCCAACTTAAAGTTGATCTTAGTCTTTGTGAAACATCCCCCTGTAGGGTGAGAAGCTGTCTCCCCAGTGAAGTTATCTTTACAGAACTCTACTTGCTGAAATTACAGACAGCTTTACTAAACAAAAGAAGATTTCTGTATTGAGTGTATTCTAATGAAGAAAAAAAATTGCTGGTATGCTGTTTCTTTGAATAATAAATACAAAATGAAGTTAATGAACAATACCAATATTCTCACTGATCCTTTTAGATGAATTATGCTACATGAACATGGCTAACTGGCTACTATGTGTACGTGTACATGTGTATGTTTACTACTATACAAGAGTGTACCCGAACATAAATCTCAAGAAAGGTTTTGAAATTGAAAGTCACCAGTTTTTCATTGAACAGAGCCTACAAAAAGCCCATTACATGTTCTCATATCTAGATGCATGTACGTATTTTGTATTTTTTAATTTTGCACATGTACTGTAAATGTACAAGTACATGTATGTGGTAAAGCTATTTCACTTACCATTATCTTTTGCTCTACCACAAATGTTGGTCAGATTTGATAATACCGGTATATGGGGGGGGGGGGGGGGGGAATCATTTTGAAAAATTCCACATTACAATTAGAAAGTGAAAATTACTGTTTTGTTATTATACTGATTTTTTTAAATTTCAATTCATTTCATTGAAATGTACATACTACATTACACATAAGAAAAGAAGAAAAACGCACCTCTCCTTCTGACTCTCCTCCACCATGATGTGACCGCCTATCCAGATCCCTCTCTCTATCATCATACTCCTCTCTCGACTTGTGCACAGCTCTCATCAACTTGATCCTATCCGGCAGCTTCTGCACTCCATAATCATCTTCCAAATCATCCTCCGTCAGGGCACGGAAATGACCAAGGGTGAAATCATTCGGGAAATACTTGAGGTACGACTCCAGTCCATTGTGGTGAAAAAATAACTGGAATGGGGCGAGAGGTTTAGGAGGGGTGGGGCTGGTAAGAGGGCTGGGGTAACTTGCAGGTGGCCCCACCTCCTCCTCCTCCTTCAAATCCATCATTTCAAGACCAAGATCAAAAAATCCATCTTGACAATCATATCAGTACAAATAGGGCAGAGGGGATTTGTTCTTCATGAGATTTTCCCCACTGTTGTATGACTACGAAGGCTGTGAGCCAACTTTTTAAGAAAGTAACAAGATAACTGCTACATGATGAAACTACACAAAGTCTAGAAACACAGGGATAGTCAGATCTCAGCTCTCAAGAAATCTCATCAAATGTCACTTCAGTCAGCATCCAACCTGTGTGTATGAAAGGGTAAGGATTAAAATTCATACAACTACCGTAAACAAAAATAATATAACCTAAAATTGTTGAAAATGTTCTTGAAAGACCCCAAGAAAGGGATCGTTTTCAACTCATTTTGTCAAGTTTTAATAGACCATATATACGTAGGCCTATATATTGATAATAATAATACCGGTAGGCATTTCTATAGCGGCGTCTATCTAGAAATTCCATTCCGAGGCGCATTTATTATTACCCCGACTTTAGCAGTGGCAAGAAAAAGTGGTCTCTAATCGTCTAGATCTAATAATTGTCAGTTAGCCTGAAGTTCCCTTAAAGGTACTACCGGATATGTCCCATTTGAAGGCCTAAAAAATGAAAAGGTTAAATTCCAACAGCATATGAAAGACAATACTAATTTAGAACTTTCCTCAGAACGAAAGTGCTTGAAAAAGGCTTTTAGTGGGAAAATAACGACCATTAGTTGTCAAATCGACTCGAGTGATTGCAATCACCTAAGTTATACTAGTCTGATTTTCAGACTCTTTTACCGAATGGTCGTACGTTTTGTGATGCACAAAGATTCAATCAGTTTAATTTTGGCCATTACAAGTAGTGGGTTATTGATGTAGACAAATGCTCATGTACCTGTTTCAGCTCATGTTATGCAACTATTACCAAAGAAAAAAAAAGATGTCAATCAGTCACTCATTGGTGTCTGACAGTGAAGTTTAGAAGGTAAACAGGTTTTCTTGCATAATTTGAATACTAGGACACTGCTAATGTTTAAATTTCACAGATAGGACATATTACATGTACATGACATATTCATAATTCCTGCAAAGTTCTATAGAATTTGATGTTGGCTGCAAAAGGGAGATTGCGATATCTCCAAAATGCTTCGACAATAATTTTTCTAGTTGAACCAATTTGTAGTAAAACAAGGGAAACGCTCTCGGCAGTCTTGCCTACATTACACAATTCGATATGATGAAAAATTGAGAATGGGACATTATTTATAGGCATGGTGGCCCATTAGCAGGCCCAAAAATTGAAATCCTCTGTACTTAATCAGCATTTTGAAGTGAATATTTACAAAGAATCATCCGAAAAATTATTTACTATTATTTCTACCAAGATTAATAACTTTCATGAAATATGAACAGATGACAAAATTGATTCATTATATCTCATATCAAGTTGTGAAAACAAAATCCAAGTCTACTGACGTAAAATGAAAATATGCTAAAAAATTCGAAATCTTGATGTTGATGCCACAACATAGTTCAAGTCTGTTGACCTGGATTGACCTTTGACCTTGACTTTGTGACCTGAATTCTAGTCACATGATTGGGGATACTTGATAACCCTATAGTCCAAGTTTCATTGACTAAAAACTTATACTTTGAAAATTATATCAAAAATTCAAAAACTTAAAGGGATCCGGTAACTTTGTCTCAGATTCTGAAATAAAATTCTGGATTTAGCTCATGATGCAATAGGCCTAATTATAAACCTTAAGGTCAGTCAGGAACCCCACAACTTTTACAAGCCGATCGCCTGTCTGATTATCAAGATATTTATGATTGGAATTACAAATTTTAAAAACCGTTCGCCTGACGGTTTTCATAACACTACAATACCGCCCAGAAGTTATTGGGCATGTTTTTGCGGGGCGGGTTTTCCCCGATGGGTACTTCACGATAAAATCACGATAAAATATCGATGAAATACTGATAGAATCACGATAAAAATCACGATAATTTGCACACTAGTGAATGGTTTCCTCTATCGGGGATGCGCGTAACCCGCCTAATCCCCCGATAGTCTATTACCCTTTTCACATCTACCAAATATTGCTTAACCCCGGGAAATAGGTGGGGCTAAGGGGGCTCTTAGCCCCACCAATTCCTTCCTTAGCCCCACCAATTACCCGGGGTAATTTTAGCCGGCTTTCTGTTCACATTACGTTTTGCCAAAGTGGGCTAACCCCACAAATAGTACGGGACTATCTGGCCCTGCAAAATAGCAGGGTTAGCCGGGCAATTGCGGGGTTAGCCGGGCAATTGTGGTGCTAAGCTGCGTAGTGTGAATCCGAACCGGGCTAAGGAGAAGCGGGGCTAAGCAACAGCCAATCACAGACAGCGTGGTCGTGTGGTCGTGAATTTGCATTTATCGCGCGCTATGCATGCAGTTCACGTTACGCATGCATGCTCTCTGTATTGACGTTTAGTCTTTTACGAGGCAGAGGTCATTATGAAAAAATCTTTATTATAAAATTGATTAAAAAAATAGTGAAAGAACATGTAGCTCATAATTTTTTATTGCATTTATCATTATCAGTCATATTTACGTAGGTAAATTTATCAAGTGAATTGGATGAAAAATGGGTAATTGATTTGTATCGGTAAAATAATAAAGGGAAAACGCTTTGCGCAAGGCTGGATAACACAACACGAGCGAGCTAAAATTATGCGCGGTAGCAAAAGCATTAATATTCATGAGCTATCGAATAGTCCGGGGCTAAGGCGAACGTAGTGTGAATCGCGTGAAATTTCTTAACCCCGGCTAAGCACATAGTCCGGGGTTAAGAAAATAGATGTGAACAGCAAAAAAAATAGTATGGGGTTAAGGATAGTATGGGGTTAAGGATAGTCCGGGGTTAAGAAAAATAGATGTGAAAAGGGTATATCATGTTTCATGGTGCGCGTATTTGCAACTAGTCAAGTCATGTCCTCTGCAAGCGCATGTCTTGCTCATCGCGCGCGCTAAGTCTTGATAATTTGTACGCGCAGTTCCGTATGTGTCTTTGTTTACGTCACAATAGAAAGTATTCACAAGTAAACATTACACACAGTTAAATACTAGTAAAAGCCGTCGCTAAATCACTGACACTGGGCGCGGATAAGCATCGGGTACTGATGCGGTGAAGCAACGAGTAGATCTAACTATATTCAAGTTGCAAAAACTTGCATGATTTGCATTCATTGAAATTATAATTGTGAGCACAATACCTTTCATTTTCACTGCCATATTTTCTGTTCGCCTACTCCAGATATGCGTATCTCATTCCACAACCATGAAAGTGGTGAATAAATTCAATTCAATTCAATTCAACCTCCACCAAATAAAATAAAAATATTCCCAAGATCGTCGCTTCAGAAAACACGCACGCGATCAGATTCTTTCATTTGCCCTATCAGTATCACTGACAAGACTGCCGTAAGAAGGGTCTCCACCCCTAAAAAAGAAAACGTCCAATCATGGACATTCTTGCCTACTGGTCACGCGTAAAAGTTGCCAGGTGGACTAGTAACCAAGGTTACCAAAACACGCGTAAATAAACATTTTTAGTCGACGGCATTGGATGATTGATAAATAATAAAATCTGTAAAAATGGCATGGATCAATTACTGTAACTGTCTTCGGAGTGTGGATTAGACCAGAGTTGAATTAACAGGAAAACATGTAGGAGAGAGAGAGAGATAATTGAGAGGGAGGTAGTGTTGAGCTGGATATATAGATGAAGATATTATTCGAGAAGGAAAGGAGTTATGATCGAGGTCAGGATGGGGAAAAAAACAAATAAAATGGATAATTATCTACTTAACAGGGTTGACTAAATATAAGTAGGCAAGACACCAATACGTTAGTCTATTTTCCGTACACCTTTCTACTTCCACTCCTTATTCATCGACACTAGACGAAAACGTTCATGGGTGGAGAAATGTGACAAAGAAGAGGGTGAGAGCATGGACCTACGTATTTGGAGAGCAAGAGAGACGAGAGGAAATCCCACTAGTATCTTCACGAGGGGGGGGGGGGGGGGACTACACGTAATAGAGAGAGAGAGAGAGAGAAAGAAAAATGTTTGATGGGAGCGCAGGCTAGCGAAATCATACTAAGGGAGACATTTACGTACATTTACTTTTGAGAAATAAACAGTAGGATTATGTCTGCCACATGCGTTGAGAGCTGGCTCCCCTCGGCTGACACATCGTAAGTAACAAAGATAACATTCAATGACATTTTTAACCGAAGATTGAAAACTAGGTCATTCACACCTCTTTTTCTTTTTATCATTTATAATTACTCTGTACGATGGCGATGTTAAAAAATAGGATGTTGGAAAGGAAGAAAAAAAGTTGGATCGTAGATTAAATGACATTGATTTGCAAAACTGGAACGATGAAGTTCATGAAGTTCATGTTTCAATTACAGAATTTTTAAACAGGAAATCGGTTTGGAAGAATATATGTTAAAGTTGGATTTCAGTGATAGAACATCTCTTTATAAATATCGATGTGGTAATAGTAAGCTGCCCTGCCGTCTGCACCTGACCGTCACTAAAGTCAGCCTCTAGAAATTGTAGAATTGTGTTCCATATGTGATCTCAAAGTACAAGATGATGCATTTCATTATGTTCTCGTATGTCCAGCCTTTGGCTTTGATTAACATTCGCAATTATTTGCTAGGAGATAGTTAGTCAATTTAAGATTAAGAATTAAAACAAACCTTTCAACCTTTTAGATTCATTCATGGTTTGCTGCTTCGCATTAGAATATGATATAGATTTTATTTTTAAAAGCAGACCCGTATCACTATCATTCGCGAAGTTGTGTTTTATTTTTGTGGACATTTTTACAATAATAGCTCCTGTTCTAGTCCCTCTAACGTTTATTCGCGCTAATAATATTTATAATTAATTTGCCTGATGTTGCATTCAATTCATTTATGGTTTGCTGCTTCGCAATCGGATATAAAATAAATGATAATTTTAAAAGCAAACTCGTATCATTGGCGACGCAGGGGGGGGGGGGGTGTGGAGGGGAGAAGAAAAGAAAAGAAAGGAGGGGAAAAGGAAGAAGAGTAAATCTAAAAATCAAATCAAATAGACAGACGAAACAAGCAGAGAACTTCATCAATCGGAAATTCTAATGTTTTCGCCAATGAATTGAATGTTTAAATGACAAGAGAGCTTACGTACATTTCATATTGTGTTTCAAGTGTTTCTAAACAATGGGTTTGGAGTCAAGGTGTCTGGCAGCATGTGGTTATCTCAGAAGTTAGTATAAACAGATCATTTTCGCGCCGTAAGATCACGTGATCATAGTAGTGATGATTGAACCTTCGAGAGAAAACTATAAGCGCGTGCATTTTTTTTAATCTTTACCACATCATCTTTTCTGTTTTTTTATTTCTTTGTTTTACCTTTTCTCGAAATATAAATATGTGTATGTATTCCCTTCGCTTGTTCCTTACGGTTCAAGGAGAATTACCCCCTTGCACAATCACCCCCTTTGTTTAATTCCTTGTTTTTCTCGCTATCAATTCGATCAATCATTTTTGTTGTTGTTTATCCTTATTTCTTACCATATGTAGATCTTTGTTAAGCCGTTATTATTTATTATTATTATTATCATTATTAATCATTCTTCTGGTTTATTCCTTCGTAAATGTGTTTTAATACTTTATGTTTTTCTTAGATTTCTTTCTATCATTTTATATTTTGTCCTCAATCCTCGTGTATTTCTTTGTTATTTCCTTATGTATTACTCCAATTTTGATTACGGGAGCTTGCCAACCCAGGTATGTGTACATGTATTTAGCTTGCATGCAAACTGAATGTCATAAAATGGAGATCGAGATCGAGGGGTTTTCCAATTCCGGGAATCCCTGAGCGCACGCACTACATATCAAATTTCAACTACTTTGTGGACCACGAGGTACATTGGCTGATCGAGATCGCGTTGCTTTTGTTTTTGATAATACTGGTTTATGAAAATGGCGTTTGCGGTCTGTGGCAAAATTTGTAATGTGTAGGGACAGGGTCAACCGATTGGTATTATGAATGAATAAAATAATAATATTTTTTTTATTATTTGGAGTTACGGATCCTTTATTTATTCTGTTAATTTTCAATTCTCTATCTCTCTTAATTATCTTTGTCTGATATATTTCACTCTTCACTCCCTTCCCTCTTTCTTTTCTGTCCCTGTCACGCTAACGGTAACGGTACCCCTCCGCCTCTTCTCGCCTCTTCTCTCCTCTTCCCTTAATTATTCACGCCTTCCTGAAAATCTCACAACATACACATAATTCTTCTAGAAATAACAGCCGCATTTATCCATAAATTCTAAGATTCTACCCACATATAAGATCTGATATGTACATGTAATGATGAATACTCTCGATTAGACAGAAATAAATAAATAGTCTGATATGGGTCATTACTCTTTGATAAATCTTACATTTGTCAACATTCCTCATGCTCATACACAGACGGTGACCCTTACGGCTCGCACGACGGGGGGGGGGGGGGGGGGGGGGGGGGGGGGGGTGAGCCTCTCTTTTCTTCCCGTTTTTCCTTATTTAGATCTAATTTTCCGATCAATAAATCGGACATAAGAAACTATGTATATTTCTTAAAATTCTTACAATTTTAATCAAGTAATTGCAATGGCGAAATTTAGGCGAATTAGATCACGCGTTTATGAATATCAAAATATCACCGGGTCAAGCCGTGCTGACTCGTACGCACATGTAGGTATCGGACGTCCGGGAAAAAAAGAGCATTCATTAACTCAAATCAAGATGGCTGCACAACAATAATGTTAACGACAAGTCTTTCTCGGATTAAACATAAGCGGAATAGCCGTCGATATTAGAGACTGAAGCTTTCGGTCTAACTCTTGATATACTCTCGGATCTCCTCTGCCATGATATGAGCTATCCCAAACATTCCTCCCCCCTCAAATAAAAAAAAGATGTCGTATCGTGGGAAAGGCCAATTAGACACCTGGTTCTTGGTTTCTGCACTTCTCTCATCGGATAACTTTTCTCTCCGCATGCGCAATCCCAAACATTCCCCGTAGCACATTGTCTCGTGTATTTATGCATGGAATGAAAAGAGCATTCATTCACGCTTTTGTGATGTAATAATCAAGTGATTGTGACGTCAGTGGCAAGCGCGCATCGGTATGTTTGAGGATGCGCAGGCTCAGCAAGCGTATAAATACAGCATGCTGTGCGCAGTTCTATCGTGATATAAAGGAAATATCACGATATGCATCGGGGATTTAGCGAGTTGATCAAGTTGAGGAAAAAAATCATGATAGAGATGAATACAAATCACGATGTTTCTCACGATAAAAACACGATAAAACCCGTCTACAATCACGCTAACCTCCTATCGTGAAACACGATCCCGCATGCCCAATAACTTCTGGGCGGTATTGTACAGTCTATTGGGGAAAATGAGTATGGTAAAACCGGTCACTCAAAGATTTTTACTTTTTTGAGGCACTTCTTGATCATTTTGAAGCGCAATTTTTTTAGGGCTTCAATATTACACCATATCACAGACACTGATAACACGTAGGGCCGTGTATCTCAGATTTAACATTGTTAAACGATCCCTTTAACCTTAGGTTAAGTTTTTAATGTTGACGCCGCCGCCGTCACCGGAAAAGCGGCACCTAGTCTATGTCTCGCTTTGTTGCTACGCAGGCGAGATAAAAACTTTGCCGTCCATTTGGTAATATTAAAATAATTGAAAAAATAAATAAATTTGTGTTGAATATGAGAAACCATAGATCAAATAGGCCTATCACATTTTGTGATTTTGTAATAATAGTATAGACTAGATCTAGATCTATCATTCTAGATCTAGACCTAGATCTATGTTCTAAAAATATGTCCGCAAACTTTACCACGTTTACCTCGTCACTCTCTAGATCTACTCTAGTCTTAACCATCTTCTTACTTAGGCTAAAAGTGTCTGTAGCTGTGGCTTGAGTTGAAGAGATCTTAAGATTGCACCTCAAATGCAGGCGAACTGGGTGACATCAATTCAATAAGGTTAAGGAATAGATCTACCCATAACTTTTAACTGTTTTCGAAAAGACAACTGTAGCTAGCAGCGAGCATTGCCGAGCAGTGCATGGAGGTCACACACGCCGCGCCGAGCCCGACGTTGTTGCTGTTGCCAGAGCGAGAGTACTGGTGGCGCACTATTCTATGCTACTTACACTGCTGTCTGTGCTTGTGTCTGTGACACGCAGCTGTGCCTATTTTTGGCAAGGCACGCGCCTGCATTTACGCCGATATATTTCATATGTAAGTCTAAAACAAACGTAATTCAATTAGTAAAATAAATAGAGAGGAATAGGAACTAACAAATAAGTTACTTACGTCTAACTTTCAACAAAAATGATTTTTACATCATCCTGAATACATCATGAGCATCATCACACCGACCCTCTACCTTTTCTCGAACCTAGTATACGGGTCGATTCGATACGGTTCGGATTATTTGAAAGATTAAGCGATCAATATTATCCGGACCTTTTTTTACTTGATGACCCATTGCAAATATAGGGATGATACTGAATTGCTGCAAATACAAATACTGTTGCCGCTTTCAATATATTATTACTATTTTCATTAAAACATTAAATTTACAAAATTAGTTAATCATAGACAATTTAGAATATCTAATTTTTATTTCACTATTTTATTTCAAGCCATTAAAAAAAAAGTATACCTATAAAAAGTGGACGTTCCTCAGCATCCGAGTTAACCCGGATCCCTCTGTTGGATTTACTTGCTCTGAGCTAGCTAGCTCTCTGTGCATGCGCTATGCCGCAGCTGATCTGATGATCATGAGCGAGTGTGGTATCCGGAATAATGATATTACTTTGTACAAAGTAATATTGCCTGTTGAAACTTATTCTTAGTCTCTTCTGTCGTACTTATTGAATAGAATGTTTAATTATATAGAGTTTGTGACCTAAAACTGGCTAAATACAACTTTGCGAAGGTAAAAAAGCACATCCTTATTATTTTAATAATTTTTCGCCATCTATGTCGTGATCGGGGGTGTAGCTCAGTGGTAGAGCGCGCGCTTCGCATGCGCGAGGCCCCGGGTTCAATCCCCGGCACCTCCACAACTTCTCCAACCACTTTTGCTTATATTTATTATATTTTTGCGAAAAATAATAAATAAATTTAATAACACGAAGAAATCATTGTCAAAAAAAAATAAAGAGAGGATAAGATAAATTCATACATGTAGACCCTTCCCCACCGCACTTCAATTCCTTTCTATTCTATTCTATTCAAGAATGAGAGGGGTCCATTCATTGCCACTTATACTTGTTTGTGGACCCCTCCTTCTCTATCCCGGTCATTGGGCATTTTCTTTGTCTGAGCTTCCTGAAACCTTCGTTTACATTACTTTCCCCTCTTTTACCAGGCATGCAAACTTTAGCTCATAAGAGTCAGTTACTGGTCCTTCTTTTATATTTTGGGGAGTATGATAAAGTATTTCTACATAATACGGGACATCACCCAATAACCATATTTCTTTTTTAAAGTTTCGCCCAAAGAGCGTCACTGAAATAGAAAACAAAGAAATTGATCTACTTACAAATTCATAGTGAAACGGTACTTGGTCTATCCCATTTGGAACTGTTACCATGGTTATCAGGGGCGGATCTAGGGGCTTCGGCGGTTTAACCCCACCCCCCCCCCCCCCCCCAAGTGAGAAAAAAAGGGGGGGGGAAAGAAAAAAATAGGAGAAAAAAGAAGGAAAAAAAGTAAAACAGTGAAACGGCGCGATTTTTGGAAAATTCTTGATCTGCCACTGGGTCACCCCCCCCCCCCCCATTGGCAAAAAACTAGATCCGCCCCTAGTTATTTCTGACGTCGAGACTGGACACACCGACATGCATGATGGACGCTCCAAAATGCCCCGAGTATAAGAGGATGCCCCATGAGTCCCCTGGGGCTAAGAAATATTACAGGAGTAATAATTTTCTAAAGGCGTGGCACAATAATTACTGATAAAACTTGATAACTTCACTACGCATATATTCGGTGCCAGATCTCTGCAAATCAAATGTTTTAAATTTCGAATCATGTTTTGCTTTTACTTACGTATATTGGATCACCGAGACAATCCTTAACGGTTTCTATTAAATCAAATACCATGCTGGTGCTCGATTTTGTGTCTCAATTTTCAAGAGGAACGTTATCACAAATTGGGGTGCTTCATTAGTTTGGGGTATTATTTTCTTCAGATTTCTTTAAATTTTCAATCAAACATAGACACTGAACGTCTGGAAATTAATGAGACTGTTTTTTTTCTTCATCAAGTTGATGTACGCCTAAAGGACATGAAAGTTTTAGTGAAGAGATTGCCCCCCCCCCCCCCTCCTCCCCACCACCACCACCACCAACAATATTGAATTAAAAGGAGAGCGATTTATATATTTTATTTCATAAACAGGAGTTTAGTGTGCGTTCTACCATACAAACATTTTCAAAGTAGCTCATGCTCAACGAATGTTTATTTCGCTCAAATTATTAAAACAAATCAAATACTGTTTGTCTTCTTTCAAATTATATCGAAGAGACTTCGCTATCATTTATCTACGCATGAACATTTACGATTTTTTTTTCTTCGAATGCCTATGTAGGCCTATTCTTTTTTTTTCACTTTGGGGCACATCATTTTAACAAGATCGTGAGCGAAACTTAATATGGGCCTATTGAAGCTATTGAGAAAAACTCACAATCTAGACCCTTCAAATACGCTTGACGGTATCCCGTTTTTTTCGAGTGCAAACTTACAGATCCTAGAAAATATATTCGAGGGAGCAAACCTCCTGAGCTTTAGAAAAGTTTCGCTTTTTTTTTCTACCTAAAACATTATTTTCTTCACGCACTTCACCCTGGATCAGGCGCGTAGCCAGGGGGGCGGTGGGGGCGGTCGCCCCCCCCCCCCAAAAAAAAAAAAACGCCGGCCAAAAAAAAAAAAGAGAGAGTAAGAGAAGGAAAAAAAAAGAAAGAGGACGTAGGAAGAAAAAGGGAAAAGGAGTCGAGAACGGTACAATGAATTGTCAAAGCTTCCGCGCTTCGCGCGGGAGGGGGAAACTGAGTTCAAATAAGAAACATGAGTCGGGAAAGGTACAACGAATCGTCTTCTTTCTCTAATAATCATATGGCTCCGTTTAGTCTCATTTCACAACGCCCCCTATCGTCAGAGCATGATCAGAATCAGCAGCCTAACATGTTAGCCTATGGACGTTTTTTTAAAAAATCGTTAAAAATTCATTTTTTGTTTAAACGAAAAGCACATCCACCCCGACGTACGTTATCACTAGCTCTTTCATTGGAGCCCTCATGTCTCATTGACTTTGAAAGTTCACCCACCGTAATTTTTCAAAATAGGTTACAAAGCTCGTCATTGCCTATAATACACATGTGAAACAAGTCTAACTTTGGACTCAGTTTACCAAGCGATTTGAAGATTATAGGTCGAGCACACGAAACATAAAAAGCATGAATTATCATAGATCACTTCTGCCTATTTCATTATGTCCATTTCATCCAACCCCCCACCGTAATTTTTCCATTTAGTAAAAGCAAACATTTTGCCGAATTTAGCAAAAACATGAATATTCATGAACGGTCAGACAATACAGCCTTTTAGTACGTAACGTATAGTGAATGGGAATGGGCGATGATCCGTTCAGGAGGTAGAGGTCAGTGGTTTGTGCTGGCAATGTTCACGCGAGCGAAAATGAGACAATCGGAGCAATATGTTAATGAAACGTCAAAGCTTCGCGCGAGAGGGGGGGGGGGGGGGGGGGGGGGGGGGGGGGGGGGACAGAATTCAGACAAGGATTAAGAGTCGAGAAAGGTACAACGAATCGTCTTCTTTCTCTAATAATTAATGAATCGTCAAAGCTTCGCGCGAGAGAGGGGAGGGACTGAATTCAGACAAGGATTATGAGTCGAGAAAGGTACAACGAATCGTCTTCTTTCAAAGCTTCCGCGCTTCGCGCGGGAGGGGGAAAACTCCCCCCTCCCTGCACCCACCCATATTATATTTAAACGTCTTTGGGGAGCGCGCTACGCGCGCTCTTTTAGTGATTCGCACGCTTTGCGTGCTCACTATACCGCCCCCCCCCCTAAAATGAAATCCTGGCTACGCGCTTGCCCTGGAGTTGGGCATGTTGGGGCGCAATCCATGGAATATCGAATCTGTGAGCTCGTACAAAGTATGATCACTGAATTGAACTGGGATATCAAAAAGAGCTCCTGTCCGCGTCAGTGAGAGACATTGGGATTTTTTTTCTTCCCCGAGAAAATTTGTAACGGAGTGTGTTTGTCAGGATAGCAAAAAACAAAAAAGACAGAGATCGGTAATCGATATCATTACCCCCCCCCCTCCCCCATTTTTTCTTTGTAAGAAGTAGAAGAAATATTCATTCGGCAATAATTGTTTTTGTCTATTTTTTCTTCATATGCTTTATGCAAATGTCAAAGTAAATATATACCCATTTTCAGGGTTTCAGAACTTACGTGGACTATAATAAAGATCTTGAATTCAAAAAAAGAAAAAGAAAGTGTCCTTGCACTTTAAAAAGTGGAGGTTTGTTTTATAATGTTGTAGGCCTAATTATGTGCATGTATAATTGCCTACATCTTAGTGTAAATTTACTCTTCGTGAGGTTTTGATCTACGTTATACTGCTTTTTAGTAATCTTTTTATATTTAGACCTCTAGGCCTACTTGTAAATATTGTGATTGTTTTTTTATTGTTTCAATAAAATACATTAGAACAAAAATAGCAATGGTCAAAAAATGACTTACTTGCCTAAATTAAACAACACCATAGACCTATCATGGCTATTAGGATTATGATGGGGTAAACAATTATTTAGCCCCCTGCCCGATGCCCAGCCAGCCAGGGCGACCCGAGGCTCGGCGCGCCCATTTTTTCCCCAGGCGCGCCCATATTTACACATACGTAACCGCTGCATCCAATGCTATTTGTGTGTATGTACGGCCGCTTAGCTGTGTACTATTGTGTACTGCGAACGTAAACAACCGGCGTCTTGGCGATTTGTGTTGGCTACAGCTCATTCACAGTTATCTTAAATTCTCGAAACAGTAACTCAGGACAGACGATCTAAAAGAATCATGGGTCTACTAAAAGATGAAGAACATGTGAAAGATAATAGAAATGCTGCAGGGTAAGTTTTTAATATAAAAAACTGTTGAACATGCTGAAAAATGGAATCACTGCCCTGCACAGACTCACGTCACTCAATCACTGATCACTGCAATGTACATGCAGTGGCGCAACAACCGGCCTTCAATTCAGTGAATTCCGTTTGTGCGTGTACAGTGTAGACTATGTATGATGTAGATCTACACCAAAATAATCAATGTTTTTATCCTGCATCAAATTGGGAATGCTTAAAACAGCTATTTTCTTGTAATGTTGGTTCCGTCGGAAACAAAAACCTATGTGGTGTAAATCTAGAGTCTACATGATTTCGATTAGCAGGGCATTTGATTAGTAATCCTGGAAAGATTCACTTTTGCGATAGCTAGATCTACCCAAATTGAAGGTTATATAGTGATAGGGTTAAAGTAGATTCCTTCATTATTATATTATAACTCTGTCACTAACCCTGACGGTTACGATGTGGACGCATGTACAATAATGTGTGTGTAATTTTAGGTGGCTGTCGCAAAAGAAAAGCTTTCTGTAATCCTTTTCTGGGGAGATTCTTCCAAACTGACCAAGAAAAACCAATGCATGTATGCCCAGCATGGCGCTTCATCGTATGTACATTGAGACCCAGAACAAAAAAGCTTGCAAATTATCATCTTTACCAGAAATCAACCTCTCTATTAAAGTCTTAATATATCTCTGTCGTTCCCTACTTTTACAGGTTGATTGAGACTCCGACTAGCCTGGAGCCGTCGGCTGTGAAGACTGATCCCAAGGGACTTTCCCCTAAGAAGACTCTGCCCTCTACTTCATTCTCCAATTCACCTCGCCGCAAGAAGAAGACGGGCATCAGACAAGCAAGGAGGATTGATAATAGTAAATCAAAATCTATACAATTTTCATATTTTTATGTGGTTTTTCTGGGAATGGTGTATGAGACCCAGGTGGGAGGAGGTATAATGCATGATAAGTGTCAAATAAATCCTATGAAGATACATGGTGTAGGACTAGGAAATATGGAATGGGGGATATGTTCTAGCTCGAACAAATGAATTCAAAAATCCAAATGGAATATGGAATAAAGATTAGAGTCCTGTAATTTGATGTATAATATAGTGTCTGAAGTTGGTTACAGTAGGCTTTTCTACTTTTGTACTATAATCCATGTACTAAACTGAAAGACAAAATAATTTCTTACTTGGATTTGGATTTTGCTTGTAATTTTAGTACCATGAGTCATAGCTTCATTCAGTGTAATTCAAGGATGGTGTTAGAAACAAGATAGGGGTTCATTACTAAAGTTACATTCATGAAAGATTGATTGTAGTGAAGGTAAAGATTTTAAATTGGCCATGCTCCAAGCAATACTGAATGGGATTGTATATAACAGCAGTGGTCTGAAATTCTGTAACTTTGTTAGAGATTTGTGCAAACGTTACAGGGAAATCCACAGAGTTATAGAATTGGGATGAACTTAAGAAATTCTTTAGTTTGACAAATTGAAGTTCTAAAATTCAGAGTCTTGCGTCAAAACCTGCTTTTAACCTGAAAGGTTGTTTCTTATTTTCAGACAATTTTCTGAAGACATTGCTTGATGATGACTTCCAGGCAGGAGAGCCAGATATCAGTGATTTTATTCCTCTCATTCAAGTGCATTTGAACAACTTTTTCTGCAGGAGAAAAATATGGAGGTAAGCTCACTACTTTATGCTCACATTTGATGATTACATCTTCATGGTCTTATGGACTATTCGTCCTACACTGTCATAATCCTTTCCATGTTTTGCTTTGTTAGTTTTGTTCTGGAGGAGGGCTTAAGGTAAACCTATTCCATACCCTGAGAATAACATAACTTTAAATCTGATCCTAACCCTAAGATACTGCGTTAATGTAGGACCAAGGGTTGCTAAGACCAATATGGGGTCGCCTTTTGACCCACAAACATTTTTATCTCTGATCTGTCATTTTGAAATGTATACTTAAGGTGAGCATTTTTTGTTCAATTCCATTAAGACTTTGGATTCATGGATTGTATTCTCAAAACTACATTGTATGTTGTTTTTTATGCTAATTAGAGGTATATGAAGATATGGCTTTGAAATCCACATGGACTATAAGCTTTTAATTCAGTATGGGATAGGTTTAAATTTTACAACCCCGGATTCCATTCTGATATTGTTAACCAATTGACTACTGAATTCTCTCATTCCCACAGGTTTTAATACAGGGGGCGAGATGAGATCTGGAGGGTGTTTCACAAAGCCTTTTTTCAATGACAAATGACAAAACTCAGTGACAAATCTGCTGATAACCAATCAGAAGCAAGGATTTCAGTAGCTTATAACAAAACCTGTCATTTGTCACTTATGACAAGTTCTGTGAAACAGGGCCCAGATGAGCAAGGTGGGGGATCTATAACCGTTTGGGGTAATTTGCAATCGGCTCATAATTATCATGAATATGATGCTATTATTTTTGCCTTTGTTTTGTTTCAGATATGGAGCGAGTTCATGAACCGTTCTGGAGAGGAGCAGGATCGATTCCTACAGGAGGTGGAGGAAGGCATGATCAAGGTCGCCAAGAAGGCATCTCTGGAACAAGATAACAATGGAAACGCTTTTACCAAGCTAGAGATTCCTACTAAAGGAGAGACCCTGTGGAGGTCCAGGACAAGAGAAGTGGTAAGATTGGTAGCATTTGCAGCCGTCTTTAAAAACACTTTTTGAACGAGTTAAAATACCATATTTTGTTAATTAATCTTAAACAAATCTGGATATTCACCCCAATCTCAAAGCTAAACCCCAGGAAAAATGTGCTATACCAAATTTTAATTGCTTAATTGGTGTACTTTAAATTTAACAAAAAGAAAAGGTGCACGAGCGTAATGCCCCATTTTACAAAGAAGGTAAAGGCAATTTTAAATGTAGTCGCTATATATGTGTCATACCAAAATTAATACTCATACAGTAGGTTAAAAAAATTAAACATGAATTTTCTAATACAGAAACGGACACATTGTGAAATGATATGTCTTTCCATTGTGAAAAATGATCTCTAGCATTATTTTGCATTAGTCTTTTGGTAACATCAAGTATCCTTATTGCCAATATGATATGTTACATTAAAATCATGTCTTTAAAAAAATCATAAAATTGTACATTTTTAGTTGTCTTGTCTTTTTTATGATTATTTATCTGATTTTTGTCCTGCTTCTAAGTAAATGTAGGTCATAGTTTTATGATGTTATTGTAATTCTTGAATTTTCTCAGAGCATCCAGCACACTCTCCTAAGGACTGCTTCAACAGGATCAGTACTCGTCTCCAAACTATGCTCCGAAGAAGACATCTTCCTAAGGTAATAGACAGTCACCAAGGCCCTGACTGAACAAAGTTGCAATTGATCCGTAGTGATCCCAATTGATCGCAAAATCACAAACTTCTCCTCTTTAGTTTAAAATTCAGATTGACATCAAGTTGCAATCGATGCATGGTGATCCTTATTGAGCGCAAAATTACAAACTTCTCTCTCTCTCTCTCTTTAGTTCAGAGTTCAGATTGACATCAAGTTACAATTGATCCATAGTGATCCCAATTGATTGGAAAAATTACAAACTTCTCTCTCTTTAGTTCAGAGTTCAGATGGACATCAAGTTACAATTGATCCGTAGTGATCCCAATTGTTTGCAAAATTACAAACTTCTCCCTCTTTAGTTCAGAGTTCAGATTGAAATAAAGTTGCAATCGAATCGGAGTGATCCCAATTGATCGCAAAATTACAAACTTCTGTCTCTTAATAGTTCAGAGTTCAGATTGACATCAAGTTACAATTGATCCATAGTGATCCCAATTGATCAGAAAATTACAAATTTCTCTCTCTTTAGTTCAGAGTTCAGATCGGAGTGATCCCAATTGATCGCAAAATTACAAACTTCTCCCTCTTTAGTTTAGAGTTCAAATTGACATCAAGCAATCAATTTGAATCAATAGCTTCTGTTTACAAGACAGGGCCCATCTTGGAATGATATTTACACTTGACCAACTAAAGCCAAAACAGTAGTCCACCAAAGTGAAAGAGTATAGTTATGAAAACTTAATAATTAGGTAGTGTGACAAAATACTGTGTTTGCCACAGGTCGTGGTTTTTCATATTAAGCAAACTGTGATAATTTTTTTGGTATATTTTCTTTATTCTTTTTTAACATAAAATTTTAGTATAACCACGTTTGACAGGGTAGAATGATAGTGTGATATTAACCTACATGTAGAGTAGTACATTCTTGCCAGTTCTAAATGTATATGTAGCTCTACGAAGAGAAACAATATTAATCTGTTGAAATCTAGCCTGGAAATGAATTGGTCTAGGTATTTTGAAATGCTGAAACGGATGGTTCAACACCGAGATTCTTGGAGAGACACTTGATGTAGAATTCTGATTGGGTCACTGAACCTGTCATAAACTGACAGATCACTATTGATGATTTTGAAAATGTATGTTATACAAAGATCAATAGAAAAATTATGATTAATTTTTGTTGTATTTCTTTCTCCATAGGGAGCTCTTGAGCTGCATGAAGGGGAGCTAATGATGTGGTTCACGGATGATCCTGGATCCGTCTTTATCTCAACGTTACATAGCAGCTTTGATCGGCTCCTGCTCCATGCTGTGTGTCAGTACCTAGGCCTCAGCTCAGAGAGTAAGACTCCCTTCGCATTCACAATAAGTCCTGAAAAAAAAGATGTTGTATTGCCCTTTAGGTGCCAAAACATGGGTTGGTGGGTCGGAAATCTTCTTTTTCTTTTTGTTACCCTCTCTTTGGGCTGGTATTTCTCTGTTTTGAATGCTTTAGTTCTTTCTTTTTTTTCTAAAACGGGAGAAGAAAAAAAACTTTAAAAAAAAAGGCTGACCGTAGATATCAACATTTTCGGGCCTGTCGCAAAGGGCAATATCATAACGCACGGCCCAGAGTGCAATAGCGGTGAATGCAGTACGCGCGAGGTTTCTTTAGATTGGTGCCGCTCTGTGCAACGAGCCGCTTGTGGCGAGTTGACAGTGAGCACCATCTGAAGAAACCGAACGTACACTGCATTTGCGTTTCGCACCACAGGGTCAAGTGCGTTATTTGTTTTATAAAATAGCGACACAAATGCAAAACAAACAAAAGTTTAGATCTTAAGTATTAAGTTAGGGTCTACGAGAGTTAGATCTAGAGTTATGTTGGTTCTAGAGTAAGACCTTGCAGGCTTACCACAAAGTTCATGGGATTCATTGCCTCAATGAGTAAAAATAAAATCCATAGGTGGTCTAGAGACGAGTCTACATCAGACAGCTGAAATTCCTGGCTTCATTTAAAAACAGGCCGAAATCCAAGGCAAAAGTAAAATAAAAATTTGCTTTCTAATAATACCCCGCTCTAGCTAGCTAGCGATAGCTAGAGCTCAGCTACGCGTACACTGCGCTGGGGATCATGGTGGAGTGTACAATATTAGCTACGCGTAGCCTATACAATTAATGCACTCGAGGCCGAGGGAGCGTACTACACGTACGTGCGCATATCGGATATCCATGGTAACGTGTATTATAACTTTTTTTGCTCTTTTTTCTGCAAAAATCGTGCTTGCATCAAAAATTTGTACATGTCATGTGACGCGTATTGACCAATCACGATACTTAAAATACTAGAGCCATTTTATAAAACATCTTTTTTTAGGCCTAATGGGTATTCTCATGAAATTAGTCATGACTCAGCACAGTAGCGACTCATTGCATGCAATGCTTTGGTGAATTCTTTCCACCTCTATAGACTTTACATGCTAATCTGTGCATTCACAGCTAATGAGCTGTAGCTTATTGTTGGAGATAGCTCAGTAATGCAATACTGCACTATTTAGGCAGCTGTCTTTTTTTTTTTTTTTGAAAAAAAAGTATCAGTGGTAAACATGTGTACATTTTATATTATAAATAAATAAGGGGGGGGGGGGGTGTGGGGGTGTCCACCTAGGAACGTTACTGGGCACTTGCCCCTGGATATCTATAGTTTTCTCTTTTTGTATGATTTTCTCTTGTACATGAAAGCTTGTTCTGTTCATCAGTGAAAAGCAAGAAATCTAAAGCAGAGATACAGAGGATGTATAAAAGAACAAGAGTCACGATCTGTACTTCAGTCTATGATTAATACTACCTTTTTCTTCCCTTGTAGGTTTTGATTGCGGTGGAAAACGTCAGACTCGTGTTGAGAACAACAATGAATCGTTCAATCCGCCGGCCATTCTCCTCTCTACCTTCTTAGACTCACTGAGATAATTAACAGCATCATAAGCTGGGACCTGTTTCACAAAAATTGTCATCAGTGACAAATGACAATCTTTGTTATATGCTATTGAAATCCTTGCTTCTGATTGGTTATCAGCAGGTTTGTCACTGATTTTTGTCATTTGTCATTGAAAAAAGGCTTTGTGAAACGGGTCCCAGAGCTACCAGGGGAAGAAGTCAACCTTGTTTCCGCTTTCCTCAACATTCACTCGCTCAGCAAACTCACACAGAACTCAAAATCGGTGAACTATTATAATCAAATCTAATGGAATTAGTACCGGGTATACCATTTTGCTTAGTGAAACATGGTATGAAAAGATGCGTCAAGAATGCAAAAGGCTTGGTGATATCAATCAAGAAAAGTTGTGATTAGACAAATCTTAATGCTAATTTGGGGATTATACAGCCTAATCACGGTCGTAAAGGTATTTTGCCAGTTCTAAAACCTGGTGATACAGCACTACCTTTACGTGTTGAAATTGTGAATTTTTTGTCAATTGTCCATTTCGCGTTCTGGACTCTTCTTTTAATTGCCACTATGTGTTGCTAATAAAACTACATGCATGTACCTTAAAGGGGCTATTTGACTTTTAGAGCTGTAATACACATTAGTTGTAACACATTTAATACATAACATTTTTCTTTACAGCACATCACATGGGTTTGTGATACGTAAATAAAATTTGTGTCCTGAAAACTGTGGCAGGTATTTTGCAATAGCTCCCTATAAGTTAGGTAGTACCTCAATACAGTTGGGACCTTAAAAGTCCAAGAAAGATTCCCCTGTGTGAAATATACTGCCCTATTTTGCCATTCGGTTTATCCAAAGACTTGATAATAATGCACAAAGCCATATAGTTAACTTTATTACCACAACCGTGTAAAGCGAAATCTAGGTGTAGCTAAGTCATGCTAGGCAAATGTTCTCTTCACATCACCTGCAAACCTGTCTTTACTGTTCTAAGTAGGAATTTACGAATAACAATCTTTGCTAAGAAGATTGGAAATATATAAAAGAAGCACCTTGCAGCATGTTATTCTTTCAAAGCATGACTTTATAGCTGTTTTATTGTGCTTTAAAGATAGCTAGGTTTTGATAGTGTTTGATTACAAGGTTTGGAATCGACATAGTGACGTGATAGTGCTTTGTAAAGATTACTAGTACTGTGTACTATTATGTTCAGGCGAGTACAAATGAAACAATAAGCAAGTTTGATAGAAGAGGAAATTGGTTGTAATGTAATTGATGACGTTTCATGGTTGTGATTTTTAAAAGTATTTCTTGTATCCGTGACTGTTAACGATAAAGGGATAAACTAGTTTATGAAGTATGTGTCAACCCTGATGCTTACGTACCCTATCAATTTGACATTTTGTAAATATTTGTAGCTATCTATCCTACAAATGTTAATCAGACCTGCTTGCAAATTGCGTCATATTTTCATTTATAGATTGCTGATAATCTAATTTACTGTGCTTGGGTGAAGGAACCTGATTTCAATCATGTTGACATGACTTGGATTTGATATTAACTCATCAGTAGCACAGGACAATGACATAGTGATTTGCTGTTATTTTAAAATAGTTCAACTATTTTATTCAAATTTTTATTGTACTTTAACCTATTTATTCTGTGACATGGGAAAGTTTTACTCTAAATTATTTGCAATGTTGTTATCAGTATGGATATATCATTTTGGGAGACATTTTTTGATTATGTTTCATTTATATATTCTTATTCTTGAATTCAGTAAGTTACCCAGTAGATAAAAAGCAATTTGATCTAAATAAAAGTCATATTAAGTCATGCAGTGTGAGTGGATGTCTAGCAAGAAAGAAGTACAAAATGTCTAGGCCTTCATGGTTGTGCGTAGATTTGTTCAATATTGTCAATTTTGTAATGTGTGTGTATATGATATTGTGATGGTAATATGCTCCTCTGTAAATGGTGAATGTCATAGCATATACAAGATTTGACTTCAAGTTCAAGCACAATTGCAGTTCATATACAGTGATAGAAATGACCATGTATTGGAGAGCAAAATATTACCTATTTATTGTAATTATCATGAGAGTGGTTTATATCTCGACAGGTTTTTTGCCAGTGCTATAATCCACCCAAACCATTTCATAACAAAATATTTCTAGGTATTTGTTCTTCAACAATTTTGTAGCACAAAGAAATAAGTTTTTGTAAAAACTTTCTCTGATGCGATATTGTGAATTATGATGTAGTGTCTGCTATAATTGCCTCTGTCAATGAATCATTATTTCCCATGGAAACTTGACAGTTTTTTTTCATTTAAAACACATTTTATTTTATATTTTCATGATTTTAAATCTACCTCTGGGGTACATTTAATTCTAAATGTGAATAGAGGTTTTTATAGGACTTTCTTGGTAAAAATTGATATGATTTGCCTTTGTTTTGATATATACAATGGATCAAGATGAACTCCAAATTTTTCATCATTTCTGTAATAATGTATCATATACATTTTTAGAACAAAAATTTTCTGCATGAATGATATATTTTTACCATATTTTAAGGATTATGATAATTATTCTATTTTTATACTCTCTTTTCTTTTACCGGTACACAATTTTAGCTTTCTTACTGTACATAGTGCAGCTTTTGTTGAAAGGAAATATTAATAAGAAAGATTCATATTCATAAGCCTATGATGTCACTGAGGATAGCTGAATTGTTTTCTCCATATATTGTTGACTGTCAACTTACTGCAGATGATGGAACTGGGAAATACATGCACATGTTAAATGCAGGTAGCCTATGTGTGGAATAAACTACTTGGTGCTTAAGAACATATAGTGGACATGTACCTAAGAAATCCAGATTACATCTTGATATGTTATAATATTGCCCATTATAATCATATAAGCTACGTGAATTACCGGTATAAACCACAAGGGGGTAAACATTCATGAATCACTTTGGCAGTAATTGTTCTAAAAATGCACAACATTGGATGTCTCCAAGTGTAAAAGAACTGTCAATATTTGAAGGTTTTTTGTACGAGTGCTATCTCTGAAGCGGGTTATTATCTAGTGCTCAAGTAGGTTTACATCAATTTTTTCCTCCTTTAATCTTGGTAATAAGCACAGGAACTAGCCCAATTGGGGGAGATACTGATACATTTATGCAACAATGTACAAATTTAAAAATAATGAGTAAGGGCTTCTTATAGTCCTTTCCATTCCTTTGTTGATATATCTTTATTGTCCAGCAATTGCATTAAATATTATAATTAATACACTGAATATTGCAGAATGTTAAAATTTTGAGAGACATTTCTTATGTAGGCATATGTACTCAGATAGTTGAGACTGCCACTTCAATGCATCACATAAGTATCATGTATTGTCATCTTTGTGAAAGCTAATTTTGAGGAATATTATATTAGCCTAAATATATTATAGCTCAATGTTAAATATGATTGGTTTACTCTTTGTATCCTCTTTGAGTTTATCTGAGTGTTGTGAACTGTATGTGAGAGTTGGTGACCTTATCAAGTTTGCTTTTGCCTATTGTGTACTGTTCTATCTCTCTTCCCACCCCCCTCTCTCTCTCTCTCTCTCTCTCACACACACACACACACACACACACACACACACACACACGTACCCCTTTTAACATTTCAAGTATATTATCTGGAGCCAGAAGTGCATCAACTCATACACTTAAACAAAAAGAGTTAATTATAGTACTCTTCTGGCTCAAAGATGATATTGCCTCCTTTCTCTTTACACCTGTCAATCTCTTCCTATGTAAATTCATCACCCTCTAGCTTCTAAATCTCTCGACCTACCATCTGTTTGTTTAATGTACACAGCTTTTCATGATTGATGTAGGCATATATGTTTAGGTATATCGTAAATAAAAACTTGGTTGCGCGATATATATCGGTTTGTATTCCTAATTTTAGTCCTTGTCACTGTTTAAAAAGCCTCTGATCATATTGCAGAATGCAGATTCAAAAGGTTTTTCAATTTTTCTAATATTTACCCCCCGCCCCGGCCCACCCCCCCCCCCCCCCCTTTGTTTTCCATACCCCTAATATTACACAAAATATAGAAAGAGTTTGATATTTTATAGCAATCGGCTAGTAGGAATTTAGTCAGGTATACATTTTCAAATAACTTTGTAAAGATATCTTTATCTTTATCACCCATATAAGGCCAGCGCCATCAAGGACCAAATTATCAGGTGGACCAAATTATCAGGTGGACCAAATTATTCGTCACACTGTACTACTGTCTACTGTGTTATATATTGCATATGGGGGTCAGCCCGGAAGTCATGTGCAAGCAAGAGGTCATGTCATATGTTTCTTTTGGAATGAGTATTTGTGTCTGTCAAGCCCTGAAAAGGAACATGATTTACTGATATTTGGGCGTTCTGGAGACTGGACGAAATTTTGTGTTACTCTATCGTATATAAGATATAACAGCCATGGGTTACAGCTACAGATTGTACTCAATTTTAGGGATACTGAGCGCCGTAGCCACTGGAATAGGTAAGAACTCTGCCAGATTTTCTGTCGCATATAATCAAGCGCTGTTACGCTGGTAGTTCGTGCCCGGCCCATCGGCAGTCTGTGCAGTGTAGTCGCAGGCTGTGCATTGCACAGTGTTCGCAGTGCAGTGCATTGCAAAGCCATTCTCATAATAATCATGTCATACATAAACATAGACAAGGATTTCTACTAATAATAGACAGTTGCTTGGCCTTTTTGGCAACTGCAGTTATATTGGTTACTTATCTGGTTATAGACTCTGTGTTTATTAATTGAGAATATTTATGCCATTTGTTAAACCTTTTTTGGTCCGAGAATAAATAGATCTAGTCTAGATCTAACGTTAAGGATCGTCCGCATAAACAATGAAGGATAGATCTATCGATTCATTGTAAACGGGGAAAAATTGCGTACTAAAAATTGATGATAGTCTGTGAAATTCAGGCGATCTTTACCGATCCACGCATTGCCATTGGCGATGCGAAAAACGGATTCCGTGATGATGCTCCACCATGGTGCATTTCTCACTTACGCAGCATGCAGCACAGACTCTTTCACGTTATTAAGGATAAATCCTCGGGAAGACGGACAAGCCATAAAAATAGACGGTGAACTGGGGGTATTTTATTACGCGGAATCTGTTTTTCGCATGGCCAGCGCACGGTTAGCGAACCCGACACCCGCAGAGGCAGAGCGCTGATGAAAAAAAAAGTCTGCCAAACTGTGGACAATCCTTATTTTTTAGGATGCAAATTGCCCGCATTTACGAGCATATCCTCGTTTATACAGACGATCCTCATTTTCAGACCAGCGTCCCTCCTGCTGACAGTGACACATCAAATCACATTGTCTCTTGAGATTGTCTTCTTTCTTAATCTTTATTTGATTTTTTGTTGTAATATTGAATCAACACAAACGATGATCATGGTGACATGATGACTGAAGTATTCTTTCTTTCACTCCTGCATAGGTCTACTATTTATTGATTATTTTTAGTGTGTTTGTAAATCAATGAATTCTTTAAAATGGAAGGTCTTCAAAAATGGATGTCGTGGAGTTGCCAGTTTGCATTAGATCAATTACGATTAGTCTAGGACTAGGTCTACAAACTTTAGAAAATTCATTATGGGTCAACCTTAGCTTTAAGTAGAGGTCAAACTTTTTTCTTTTCTTTTATTCAATCATAAACATGCACTAGATCTAAACTGTTTCTCTAATTTTGTGCTTCTATTAAAACCAATTAAATATCAAGGTGGACTTTTCTTTACCTTTACCACAAATACATGTACTGGAAGAATGCTGAGGCAGCAGTCGAGCTTCCAGGTCTATCTTCTTGTACTCTAGCTTAATACTTCTCATAATAAACAAACCAGGAAGGCAGAGGGGCGAGAGGTAGCATCTTGACTGCATACATCTCATGTCCCTTTGATTCATGTTTAGACAGGAGCAGAATCTTTTGATGTAAAACACGTCTGTTCAAGATTTAACTCAGACTTATAATCAT